CTCAACCCAGCCAGCCCCTTTGCCCAGTGGGCCCCCCACCACGATTGGGGGTGGGGCCAGCTGGCAAACTTCCCACGGCCCCTCCCCAGCCGGCCCCACCACCCAGCAGGCATCCCCACCCTGATTGGGCCCCATCGGAGTGGGCCAGCCCGACCCCACCCATGCACCGGGCCTCTATCTATAATAATAAAAACATAATATGATAATTAGACCAGACAGCCGAACAACTTTCCAGACGTCATTCCGGACATCCTTTCGGACGACCTTCCAGATGAAGCTGCGGCATCCAGGGGCTGAGGCAGAGGCGGTTAGGGATGATCAGGCAGGCAGGTGAGCGGTTAGGGGCGATCAGGCAGGCAGGGGAGCGGTTAGGGGCGATCAGGTAGGCAGGCAGAGGGGTTAGGGGGCGATCAGGCAGGCAGGCAGAGGAGGTTAGGGGTGATTAGGCAGGCAGGCACTCCCAGTGACAGGATACAAGGAGAGCTGTCCCAAATCTTTGCAGAGACGGGAATGCTCAGGAGGTCAAGATGATAGAAACCTAAGGACCTAAATGCTGGGGCCCATGCTGCCAGGGCCCACTCAGCACAAGGCCAAGGGGAGCTCAGACCAAGTTCTGGTCCAATTCCTAACCCGGTTGCGACCAGCCATCCTGGGACATCCAGGGCTGCAGCATGTGCTGGAGTGTGTAATCGTGGGTGAGGGGAGGGGTGGCGCTCTGGAGGTGGAGGGCTCTCCGCCTGCGTGCCCTTCCCCCAGGTGCTCAGCCCAAGCTGTGCCAGCAAAACTCCTTTGCTGGGGAGAGATCACAGGGGGCAGGTCGGGGGAGGGGTGGCCAGCCTGTGGCCTCCATTGTGGCTGTTTGCACACATGTAATTAGCTCTAATTATCCCGGGCTTTCAGTTCCCTGACTCAGGGCCTGGGAGCTGTGCAAGGGGTGAACGTGCCCACAGAGCCGCTGCTCCGCTGAATGAGCCCCCTCACCAGCCGGGAAGCTCTATGCCTGTCCACAGCACCCTGTGTGGTGTGTCTGTTTGCCCAACTGTCTACATGGCCACCACATGCTGGCTTGGGGATATCTTTGTGTGTCCTCGGTAGTGTGTCTACACTGGCCACTGGGAAGGTCTACACAGGCACAGATGAGGAGGGGAGGGGTGGTAGGGGAGGGCGTTGAAGGGGAGGATGAACTGGTTCTCAGCTGAGAAGGAAGGAAGTGCTAGTGCCCAGCTCTCCTGTCTGCACAAGTCCTACATAAATGTGAGCCTGGAGCAGTGGCCAAGGCCAAAAATCCCTGGGATTTCAGATGTAACTGCCAAACTGAAGTGTCCTAGATTAGTGGTCGGCAAACTCATTAGTCAACAGAGCCAAATATCAACAGTACAACGATTGAAATTTCTTTTGAGAGCCACATTTTTTAAACTTAAACTATATAGGTAGGTGCATTGTTATTAACTTAATTAGGGTACTCCTA